TATATATATATATACATATATATATATATATATTGAAAATTTATAATATTTAATTTGCATTAATAAATCTCCTTACAAAACTCATCACTCTTTTCAAATGAAATTTTTTTACAAAATCAGGAATTATGCATTAAGAGCTCTCTCAATCTAAAATTATATGAATTTCTTGATTTCATTTAAAGTTGACTTTAATATTATTTATTAGAGATTATGTTTTAAAATAGTTAAAGCTAACTTGAAAAACTAATGAATGAATTTATTTTACGTTTAAAATATTATGTATGTGAATGATCAAATTGTGTAATTCATGACAAATCATTTATATTTTTACACATATTTTTCAGTATATATATATATATATATATATATATATATATATATATATAATATATAGTGAGTGTGTGTGTGTGTGTGTGTGAGAGAGAGAGAGAGAGAGATTTGTAAAGAGATTTATTAATGCCAATTAAAAATTATAATTTTTTAACAACAAATAAAAAAGAGATTTATATTCAAACCAAATACATTTTAAATAATTGCATAAAGATAAAAATACTCTTCAATTCTTGTAGACCATCATTAAATTTAACTGAAAACATGATTTGGGACTAATTTGAAGCAACTTTTGATAGTCCGAGACTAAATAAGAGCATTCTAAAACTCTGATATTAAATTAGACACTTCTTAATTGTCCGGCGACTATTTTGAGCTTTCACTCAGAGAATATAAAAATTAACTTTTTTCAAAAGTTATTATCTCTAAGTTTGAAGGATTTAATAAAGAAAAATAAGATAGAGTGATTTTTTGTTGGAGAATACTTTTAAAAAATGGGTCTACTTTACGAGCAAGCCTGTTGTACTGAGCATAAATTTCTACCACTAGAACTTAAGGCATGTCAAGATAGATTGTCAAACATCAAAGACTATGGAGCAGTCGTATGACAGTCATTACAAGGACAGGTAAGCATATGCAAATACAATCACAAATTGGTTTGTTATAAATTCAAGTGCCTTTTCTAATTGTTAGATTTAGGTGCAATGTTTAGCAAGTACTTGGCACTTCTTCCTTTCTTCCTTTTTTCCTTTCATATGTATGGAATAGGATTTATATTTCTTTCTAGTTTTGAGCCATATGGTGGTTTTTTGTATATGAGAAATAATGTTTTGTGAAATATCAATGGTCTTAGCCCGGTGAATTGACGACACACGATGGTATGATTAAGACTTTGGCTAAGTTTAGTTATATATGTAATCTGAGAACAAATCTTATATGTTTGAGTGCTCCAAGTGATATAGGGTACAGATATTCTACTGATCCTAAGGTCTTCAAGGCTTATGAGGGTTCTTTGGCTGTTATGAAATATAGTAGATTCACATAACTTAAGGTGTAGTTTGTGAGTTGTTTCAAGTATGACTTTACCTGTGTTGGAGCATTTTATTTTATCGAAGCAAAGAAGGGTTAGTTTCTCGGCTACAACAAATTTTTCAAAAAAATAAAGTCAGGTATAGGTCGACAAGAAGATTTTAGATGATATGAGGGATTACAATTTTGATAGTTAAAGGATATGAACAATTAGTGGCAAGTGCACTCTTAGGTTTAGGGGATACACTTCAATTTGCAATATATTTGTGTATTAGAGATCTCTCATATATTTTTAACTCGAGAATCATTTGAGCTAATGAGCTTTTTAGGGTTTCGAGAGCTTAGAATGCTCAAACAAGAAAGGAGCCATAATGATCCGCTTATGTTGAAGCATTGTATTTTGAAGAAGCAGAAAAATGTTAGTTTCTTGGCTACAAGAAATGTTCTAAAATAAATTTAGACATAAGATGATGAGAAGATTTGCATTATAAGAGGGATCTTGAGTATATTATATTGTCAGTCCATCCTAATGTCAAGTTATATAGGGTGTGGAGATGACTAGCTTAAAGGTATGAAAATTCAGTGTTAGTTGCATTTTTTAGGTTCAATGGATTCACTTCAACATGCAACATTTGTGCATCAGAGTGCTCTCATAAAGTTGAAAAAGTTTTCTTTCCGGACTTCGAACGTAGTTCTACGTGCGGACTCCCAGTAATAAACCGTCATGGGTGCTATTTGAACCCACCTAAAAAATAATAAAGTGAAACCGCGAACTCCGCAATAACCCCAAAATAACCTCTGCGGTTCCACTTTAATAACCATGAAATAACACTGCGGAGATTATTTTGTAGTTATTGAAGAAAAACCCATATATTCCACTTCAATAACCCTCCCAAAATAACTTCCGCAGTGTTATTTCGGGGTTATTGAAGTGGAATCGCAGATGTTATTTCGGGGTTATTGAAGTGGAATTATGGGGTTTCTCTTCAATAACCCCAAAATAATTCTGAAATAACATCTGCGATTCCACTTCAAGAACCCCAAAATAACCTCCGCAATGTAGCACACGTGGCGGCATATTATTGGAATACGCACGTAGAGCTACGTCCGGAGTCCGGATAGAATATTTCATACATAAAGTTCAAATGCCGCCCTCACAATGGTCATGGTTTCTCAGAGGGTTGTTGACGTAAAAGGCGCGTGCAAGGCAAATAGCATCTTTATGAGAATATATGTTCATGAGAGATTCTTTGGAATCCTTCTTTTGTTAAGCATGGGTGTATTTGAGATTTTGAAGGCTACTTGATATTCCTTACTTGATGTTCTTTTATTCTAACATCAATTTGAAGCCTTCATGTCTCCTATAGACAATAGATTTAGTTGAAGCCAATTGAACAAATTCGAGTCTACAATGCTCAATCTACATCACTTCGTTAAAAATCTCGTTGGCTCGTGTACCTTAGAATATTCTGATTCAAACTTTATTAAAAAAATTGTTATTTTGACCCTCAATTAATGAACTAAGGTAAAAGGGCACTTTTGTAATGTGGTACCGCTCACCTACCACATCTCACCAACCGTTCACCTACCGTTTACCTACCGCTCACCTACCGCTCACCTACCTCCCATCTACCACTCTCTTGCTTCTATAAATAGAGAGGGTATGAGGCTTAAGAGAGCAAGGGAAGAAATCTTAAGGGTGTGAGGCTTAGGAGAGGAAAGAGAAGAGATCTTAAGCCACCACAAAAGAGGAGAGAATAGCTAGAGAGCTAGAGAGGAGGAGAGCATCTTGAGGCATTGTATCATGGTGTCGGTTGAGAGGGAGGTCATAGAAGGAAGATGATGGCTCATCTCTATGTATAAGCTATGTATTCTCCATTTCTTTT